CAGAGGTGCCTCTGTGCCCCTGGCAAAAAAAGTGTTCTGCGACCGCTTACTTCGCGTAATGGATGAGCCGCCTCTGCACAGACCATTCTGAACCCCACCAACAATAGAATTGGGCCAAACTTCCCACACGGAACCCCCATGACCACCAGAGTGGGTCACAGCAACACGTGGCAGGGGATGGCTAGTAAATAAAATAAATAAATATTGCCAATCTCTCTTGAGAGTCTGGCTGTTTGCTCTTGTGGCTTCATATCCCAATAGAGTTCCCTCCACATACACACACAGTGAACCAATCTTTGAGTCTCCCATCCAAAAAAAACCTACTGCAGAAAGGAATTAGATCATTTGAATGACATAAAGTGGGTTTCTTCTGCTTTGCCTGCCCTCTTCCTCAAAGGACACCTTCTTCATATTGTCCTTTGGGGAAGAGGGCAGACAGACCCCCACCCACTTCACTCTCATCATCTCCCATGTTGTGAAATACTCATAAACGTGTCTCGCCTGGCTTTGTTTGCTGTCAACAAGAGGCCCGCTAATGAAATATACACTGCAAACAAAGCGATGCTTATCATCATGTACGGCCAGCCAGCCTTCCCTCCCCATCTGAGGCTTCTCTTGGGGTCCTTCTATAGCAGTGTTTCTCAACCTTCCTAATGACACGACCCCTTAATACAGTTTCTCATGTTGTGCTGACCCCCAACCATAAAATTATTATCATTGCTACTTCATAACTGTAATTTTACTACTGTTACTAGCGGTCCCCTGCCACGCGTTGCTGTGGCCCAGTCTGGTGATCTGGAAAATAAAGCAATGAGAAAGTGTTGGTTTCTAATCTATGTAATGTCTTTATGCTTGTGGGTAAACAGTATTTCTTGCTGCTTCTTTGCCAGTGTTGATGTGGAGAGTGTCTGGTTTGCCTCCTCTGGAATATGCAACATATCATAGTCCTTTTTTAGGGGTCCCTTTCAAATCTATGATACTATTATCTCTGTGTGTGTTTGAATCATATCTATCTATCTATATCTATGGTTGGATGGTTCTGTGTCAGGAGGGCTCTGGCTGCATTTTCTTGCCCTGGTGAAGAGTTGGACTGGATGGCCTTAAGTATTTTCTGTTGGTCATGGTGTTAGAGACCCTAAATTGGGTCTTCTTAGGTCCACATTGCAAGAGCACGAAAGGAAGGAGACAGTCCCAATGAAAGATCAAAAAACAAGGTTTATTTTTAGTTTCTTCATGAAGAAGATGGACAGCCTGGGAGCATACGCAGATGCTACCCTTCAAGTGACTGCCGTGCCCCCTTGGCTTTTGACCACCATTATATAACCTCAAGTAAACAAGAACAATTTTTTGTCATGGAAAGTACTCTCTTTCCAGCCCCCCTCCCTTGACCTTTTGATGGAAAGTACCTTCTTGTACATGCATACTCTGCACTTTACCACAACCTTTGAAGTTAACCACAACACAACATCCTGTGTAAGAAAGTACCCTCTTGTACGTCAAGATGTCACATCTTGTTTCTTAAAAACATTTTCTTCCGTATTGCTCTTTTTCTACAGAGAAAGGGTATATTTCTCTTTTGTTGTTAATTTCATTCAAAGCCCCTTGCTTAGTATTTGCAAATTTCGCTCAAAGACCCTTTCAATGGGGGTCCTGTGTGGGAAATTTGCCCCAATTCTGTCATTTGTGGGATTCAGAATGCTTTTTGATTGTAGGTGAACTATAAATCCCAGTAACTACAAATCCCAAATATCAAGGTCTATTTCCCCAAACTCCATCTGTGTTCATATTTGGGCATATTGAGTATTCCTGTTAAGTGTGGTCCAGATCCACCATTGTTTGAGTCCACAGTGCTCTCTGGATGTAAGTGAACTACAACTCCCAAACTCAAGATCAATGCCCACCAAACCCTTCTAGTGTTTTCTGTTGGTCATGGGAGCCCTGTATGCCACATTTAGTTCAATGCCATAATTGGTGGAGTTCAGAACGCTCTTTGATTGTAGGTGAACTATAAATCCCAGCAACTACAACTCCCAAATGACAAAAATAAAAAAAATTGTGTGAAGGACATACATTGGGTTGTTAGGTCTATGCTGTCCAAATTTGGTGTCAATTGGCCCACTGGTTTTTGAGTTATGTTAATCCCACAAATGAACATTACATTTTTATTTATATAGATAATCATAATGTAAGTATCTGATATGCTGATTAGGTGAATTGCACTATGTAACACTGCAAGTGGCTTCTGGTGTGAGAGAATTGGCCGTCTGCCAGGACATTGCCCAGAGGAAGCCCAGATGTTTGATGTTTTACCATCCTTGTGAGAGGCTTCTCTCATGTCCCCGCATAGGGAGCTGGAGCTGGCAGAAGGAGCTCATCTGCGCTCTCCCCAAGTTTGAACCTTTGACCTGTTTCTCAAGTTGCTCCTGACACAGAATAATAATAATAATAATAATAATAATAATAATAATAATAATAATAATAAAGCTGTAATAAAACCGCTGTTGAAAAAACCATCACTGGACCCCACTCAATTCGTCAACTATCGGCCTGTTTCCAATCTCCCCTTTTTGGGCAAAGTCATGGAACGTGTGGTGGCCTCACAACTCCAGGCATTCTTGGTAGACACGGATTATCTGGATCCGGCACAGTCTGGCTTTAGGCCGGGGCATGGTACCGAGACAGCCTTGGTCGCCTTAGTGGATGATCTGCGCCGGGAGCTCGACAGGGGGAGTGTGTCCCTGTTGGTGCTGCTGGACCTCTCAGCGGCCTTCGATACCGTCGACCACGGTATCCTTCTGAGACGCCTCGCGGGAATGGGTCTCGGAGGTACTGCCTTGCAGTGGCTCCAGTCATTCCTCGAGGGTCGGTCTCAGAAGGTGTTACTGGGGGACTCCTGTTCTACCCCACAACCTTTGCATTGTGGGGTTCCTCAGGGTTCAATACTGTCTCCCATGTTGTTTAACATCTACATGAAGCCGCTGGGCGAGATCATCCGGAGTTTCGGGGTGCGGTGTCATCTGTACGCAGATGATGTCCAACTCTGTCACTCCTTTCCACCTGCTACTAAGGAGGCTGTCGAGGTCCTGAACCGGTGCCTGGCCGCTGTGACGGTCTGGATGAGGGCGAACAAATTGAAATTGAATCCAGACAAGACAGAGGTACTCCTGGTCAGTCGCAAGGCCGAACAGGGCATAGGGTTACAGCCTGTGTTAGACGGGGTCGCACTCCCCCTGAAGACGCAGGTTCGCAGTTTGGGTGTGATCCTGGACTCATTGCTGAGCCTGGATCCCCAGGTTTCGGCGGTGACCAGGGGAGCATTCGCACAGTTAAAACTCGTGCGCCAACTGCGACCGTACCTTGGGAAGTCTGACTTGGCCACGGTAGTCCACGCTCTGGTTACATCCCGCCTTGACTACTGCAACGCTCTCTACGTGGGGTTGCCTTTGAAGACGGCCCGGAAGCTCCAACTAGTCCAACGGGCGGCAGCCATGGTACTAACAGGAGCAGGGCGCAGGGAGCATACAACTCCTCTGCTGTACCAGCTCCACTGGCTGCCGATTAGCTACCGGACCCAATTCAAAGTGCTGGCGTTGGCCTTTAAAGCCCTAAACGGTTCTGGCCCAACATACCTATCCGAACGTATCTCGGCCTATCAGCCCACCAGGACCCTAAGATCTTCGGGAGAGGCCCTTCTCTCCATCCTGCCTGCTTCACAGGTGCGGCTGGCGGGAACGAGGGATAGGGCCTTTTCTGTGGTGGCCCCACGGCTTTGGAATGCCCTCCCTATAGAGATAAGATCAGCCTCCTCGCTGATGGCATTTCGAAAAAAACTGAAAACATGGATGTTTGAGCAAGCATTCGGCTAATCCGATGCGATGAAGTTTTGATCAAGGACTGGTAATTACAGACAACGAAATTGGATTATGATTTAAGTTAAGAGATGCATTGGTCTGTATTGGTGGCCCAATACTGTGTATTGTATATGTATGTGTTTTATATTTTTATCGGAATATTGTTGTTTTTAATATTGTAAACCGCAATGAGTCGCCGTTTTAGGCTGAGATTTCTGTATTGGTGGCCCAATACTGTGTATTGTATATGTATGTGTTTTATATTTTTATCGGATTATTGTTGTTTTTAATATTGTAAACCGCAATGAGTCGCCGTTTTAGGCTGAGATATTAGCGGTATACAAGTGTACTAAATAAATAAATAATAAAATAAGTCAAGGATTCAGAAATAAGGAAGGAAAAGGGAGGGAGGAGGGAGGAGGAAGGGAGGAAGACAAGGGTTTAGCAGGAAGGATGGAATCCAAAGGAAGGAGGAGGAGAAGGAAGGGAAGAAGGAAGGAAGGAAGGAAGGCAGGAGGGAGAGAGGGAGGAAGGAAGGAGAAAAAGGAGGGAGGGAGGAAGAAAAAGGTTTAGCAGGAAGGAAGGAAGGAAAGAAGACAAGAAAAGGAGAAGGAAGAGGTAAGGAGGGAGGAAGGAAGACAAGAATACAAAAAGAAGGAAGGAAGGAGGGAGGGAGGGAGGGAGGGAGGGAGGAGAAGGAAAGGAGGAAAGAAGGAAGGGAAGGAAGGGAACGGAGGAAGGAAGGAAGGAAGGAAGGAAGGAAGAAGAAGGGAGGGAGGAAGAAGGACTGAGGAAGGAAGGAAGGAAGGAAGGAAGGAAGGAAGGAAGGAAGGAAGGAAGGCGGGAAGGAAGACTAGAGGGAGGGCTGTAAGAAAGGATTGAAGGAAGGATGGATGGAGGAGGAAGGAAGGAAGGAAGGAAGGAAGGAAGGAAGGAAGGAAGGAAGGAAGGAAGAAGGGAAGGAAGGAAGGAAGGAAGGAAGGAAGGAAGGAAGGAAGGAAGGAAGGAAGAGGAAGGAAGGAAGGAGAAGGAAGGAAAAGGGAGAGGGTAGAAGGAAGGAAAGAAGGAAGGAAGGAAGGATGGATGGATGGATGGATGGAAGGAAGGAAGGAAGGAAGGAAGGAAGGAAGGAAGGAAGGAAGGAAGGAGCAAGGGAAGGATTCCAAGGCAGGAAGGAGGGAGCATTGGAAGCAGGGTCCATGGGCCTCACAGGGTGGCTGAGGCCTGATCCTGCTCCCATGGGCAGGGGTGGGCCACAGGGGCTGTCCTACCTGGAGACCCCTCCCCCCCTGCTCACCTGGTCCAGCAGCATCTTCCGGAAGGCTACCGTTCGGGTTGCGCCAGGCACCATGCGGTCCAGCAGCCGGTACCAGCTCCCAATGACCGGCCCCTGCAGGGAAGGAGAGTGGGGCAGGGTCCAGTGGCCAGCCATGTTGGATGGGGCTGCCCAGTGCGTGTCTGTGTGCCCAGGGCTCCGTCCATAGCTCCCCCCTCCCACCCTTGGCCCCCATCACTCACCACAAAGCAGAAGCCGATGCCCATCATCCTGAGGGTCCGTCGCCCGCTGTGCCCCTCCAGGCCCCTCCGCTCCACCAGCTGCTGGGAGATGACGTCCCCGACCCCCATCAGGGTCCCTGTTGGGGGCAAAGGGGCCATTGGGGAGGACCCTCCTCAAATTCCTCCCCCATTGCTGGCTTCCTCCTTGGCTGCTAACCCAGGGTCTCTGAACTGGCAAAGAGGGTCCTGCCCACACACCCAAGCCCCTTCCCCCAATTTAATCCTTATTATTATTATTATTATTATTATTATTATGACGTGGCAGAGTAGACTCGTCTAATCCAGTTCAAAGCAGATCATGTGTATTAACTGCTTTGATAATCTAGATTATATGGCAGTGTAGAAGAGGATTGAGAGCCTGGTGGAAGCTCCTTTCTTTGGAGGCTTATTGTAAGACTGTAGGATCTATATAGGAATATTAAATGACCACTCACAAGCCGGTTTTGCTGTGAAATGGATATATTGCTTGTATCTCTGCAGCAAAGAAAGACACTACGGACTTATTCCCCTCTCCACTTCCTTTTATACACTTTTTCTGCCCATCTCCCCCTCTTCTCAGTTTCCTTATTAGAATTTGTTGCTTCACAAGTTCCAACACAAGGTTTCCAGTGCAATCTGCTGGCTTCAAAATGTCACAGAGAGAGAACTGATTCAGCCAGGATGATTCTGTCAGGATGTCATGGAGGAAATTTGTGATGTCTTCATGTTGTCGGAAATTGACTCCTGACACTTATAAACAGATGGATGGCCATCTGTTGAGGATGCTTTGGCTGTGCTTTTCCTGCATGGCAGAAGGGGGTTGGACTAGATGGTGTGTGTGTCTCCTCCAACTCAATTGCTCTATGAAACGTCTTTGCATGCCTCCATTGCATGGATGCCTGGTTGGAGAGCACAGGCTCTTTGGTCATGTGAATAAAGTCTCAATTCCTTGCCTTCAACAAGTTTGTTCTTCAGAGCCAACCCACACTGGGTTTCCCAAATCCTCTAAAGTCCAAGGGCTAAAATTGCATGTTTTGTTGTTGTTGTTGCTAATACCCTGCTTTTTCTCTCCACAAGGAGACTCATTGGGAAGGCTTGGGTTGTGTCTTCCTTTATGGCAGAATGAGGTTGGACTGGATGGTCCTTGGGGGTCCCGTCCCACTATCGGAACCTATGGCTCTTGGTTGGCATGTCAGAATGGGGTTGGACTGGATGGCCCTTGGGGGTCCTGCCCCACTATCGGAATCTATGGCTCTTGGTTGGCATGGCAGAATGGGGTTGGACTGGATGGCCCTTGGGGGTCCCGCCCCACTATCGGAATCTATGGCTCTTGGTTGGCATGTCAGAATGGGGTTGGACTGGATGGCCCTTGGGGGTCCCGCCCCACTATCGGAATCTATGGCTCTTGGTTGGCATGGCAGAATGGGGTTGGACTGGATGGCCCTTGGGGGTCCTGCCCCACTATCGGAATCTATGGCTCTTGGTTGGCATGGCAGAATGGGGTTGGACTGGATGGCCCTTGGGGGTCCCGCCCCACTATCGGAATCTATGGCTCTTGGTTGGCATGGCAGAATGGGGTTGGACTGGATGGCCCTTGGGGGTCCTGCCCCACTATCGGAATCTATGGCTCTTGGTTGGCATGGCAGAATGGGGTTGGACTGGATGGCCCTTGGGGGTCCCGCCCCACTATCGGAATCTATGGCTCTTGGTTGGCATGGCAGAATGGGGTTGGACTGGATGGCCCTTGGGGGTCCTGCCCCACTATCGGAATCTATGGCTCTTGGTTGGCATGGCAGAATGGGGTTGGACTGGATGGCCCTTGGGGGTCCCGCCCCACTATCGGAATCTATGGCTCTTGGTTGGCATGGCAGAATGGGGTTGGACTGGATGGCCCTTGGGGGTCCTGCCCCACTATCGGAATCTATGGCTCTTGGTTGGCATGGCAGAATGGGGTTGGACTGGATGGCCCTTGGGGGTCCCGCCCCACTATCGGAATCTATGGCTCTTGGTTGGCATGGCAGAATGGGGTTGGACTGGATGGCCCTTGGGGGTCCCGCCCCACTATCGGAATCTATGGCTCTTGGTTGGCATGGCAGAATGGGGTTGGACTGGATGGCCCTTGGGGGTCCTGCCCCACTATCGGAATCTATGGCTCTTGGTTGGCATGGCAGAATGGGGTTGGACTGGATGGCCCTTGGGGGTCCCGCCCCACTATCGGAATCTATGGCTCTTGGTTGGCATGGCAGAATGGGGTTGGACTGGATGGCCCTTGGGGGTCCCGCCCCACTATCGGAATCTATGGCTCTTGGTTGGCATGGCAGAATGGGGTTGGACTGGATGGCCCTTGGGGGTCCTGCCCCACTATCGGAATCTATGGCTCTTGGTTGGCATGGCAGAATGGGGTTGGACTGGATGGCCCTTGGGGGTCCCGCCCCACTATCGGAATCTATGGCTCTTGGTTGGCATGGCAGAATGGGGTTGGACTGGATGGCCCTTGGGGGTCCCGCCCCACTATCGGAATCTATGGCTCTTGGTTGGCATGTCAGAATGGGGTTGGACTGGATGGCCCTTGGGGGTCCTGCCCCACTATCGGAATCTATGGCTCTTGGTTGGCATGGCAGAATGGGGTTGGACTGGATGGCCCTTGGGGGTCCCGCCCCACTATCGGAATCTATGGCTCTTGGTTGGCATGGCAGAATGGGGTTGGACTGGATGGCCCTTGGGGGTCCTGCCCCACTATCGGAATCTATGGCTCTTGGTTGGCATGGCAGAATGGGGTTGGACTGGATGGCCCTTGGGGGTCCCGTCCCACTATCGGAATCTATGGCTCTTGGTTGGCATGGCAGAATGGGGTTGGACTGGATGGCCCTTGGGGGTCCCGCCCCACTATCGGAATCTATGGCTCTTGGTTGGCATGGCAGAATGGGGTTGGACTGGATGGCCCTTGGGGGTCCCGTCCCACTATCGGAATCTATGGCTCTTGGTTGGCATGTCAGAATGGGGTTGGACTGGATGGCCCTTGGGGGTCCCGCCCCACTATCGGAATCTATGGCTCTTGGTTGGCATGTCAGAATGGGGTTGGACTGGATGGCCCTTGGGGGTCCCGCCCCACTATTGGAATCTATGGCTCATGGTTGGCATGGCAGAATGGGGTTGGACTGGATGGCCCTTGGGGGTCCCATCCCACTATCGGAATCTATGGCTCTTGGTTGGCATGGCAGAATGGGGTTGGACTGGATGGCCCTTGGGGGTCCCGTCCCACTATCGGAATCTATGGCTCTTGGTTGGCATGTCAGAATGGGGTTGGACTGGATGGCCCTTGGGGGTCCCGCCCCACTATCGGAATCTATGGCTCTTGGTTGGCATGGCAGAATGGGGTTGGACTGGATGGCCCTTGGGGGTCCCGCCCCACTATCGGAATCTATGGCTCTTGGTTGGCATGTCAGAATGGGGTTGGACTGGATGGCCCTTGGGGGTCCCGTCCCACTATCGGAACCTATGGCTCTTGGTTGGCATGGCAGAATGGGGTTGGACTGGATGGCCCTTGGGGGTCCTGCCCCACTATTGGAATCTATGGCTCATGGTTGGCATGGCAGAATGGGGTTGGACTGAATGGCACTTGGGGGTCCCATCTCACTATAGGAATCTATGGCAGAATGGGGTTGGACTGGATGGCCCTTGGGGGTCCCATCTCACTATAAGAATCTATGGCAGAATGGGGTTGGACTGGATGGCCCTCGGGGGTCTCCTCCAACTCTATTATTCTATGATTCTGTGCCCTGATTGGATGAAGCCCTCCAGGGGAGATGCCCTAGGAGAGCCTGGATCTGCACCTGAGGTATGAATGGTATCAGCGCTGCCTCGGTTGCTCGTGTCCCTTTGCTGTGTCTCGCCCACTCACTCATTAAGGAGCATATTGTGGCGCAAGTTGCTATTTCCCCCGCCCTCCCTCCCTCCCTCCCTGCCTGCCTGCCTGCCTTTCTTTCTTTCCCTGTATATGTTTGGGGCGGGGGGGGGGGGGTTGTCAGTGCATCTGCGAAGAAGGTGGCCCCGAATGACGCACCTGGCTGGCCTCCCAGGAGGAGCGGTGGATGGATGAGATGGCTTCAGTGCCAGGGACGTTGGGGGGCCGCCAAGTTGGCACCCGGCCCTCCCTCCCCATCCCTAAGACACACAGCAAGGAGGCGGGCGGCCAGTCCCATCAACTTGATGGACCGAGAGGCAATGGAGGATGGACCGAGGGACAGAGAGTCCTTCGGCAAGAAGTCTACATAGAGCATCTTCTAGAGCCAGCATGGGCCAACTTCAGCCCTCCTTCCATGTGTTTTGTACTCCAACTCCCACAATTCCTAACAGCCGGTAGGCTGTTAGGAATTGTGGGAGTTGAAGTCCAAAACACCTGGAGGAAGCAGGAAAATTGCAGTCCCTGAGTTACAAACACCCAACTTACATCCGACTCATAGCTAAGAATGGGTCTGGGACAACAGGAAGTGAGAGCGATCTTCTCCTCAGAAGGGACAATCCACTCCTGCGCCTCTTCTTCAAGACTTCCAGAAGACAAGCCTTCACCAGATGCCCAGGCAGCAAAGGATCCCTCGGTCCAACAACTTTGAAGAAGCAAGAAGCCATCTTTGCTCCCTTTGCTTCAGGGAAAGCCTTGTCTTAGAGGGCATTAGAAATCTGAGTGTGTGTTTGAGACGAGCTGCTCTGAGTGTTGTTTGGGAGGTTAGGCAGTGATTGACAGTTTCAGGGAAGGAATTAGTGACTCACTGTTCTTTGAAGCTCTCTGGGAGTGAGTGGTTGCTTCCTGTTTAACCTATATAAGCCAGGGCCTGAGCTCAAGTGGCAGTTGAGTTCCCACAGAAGTTGAGGAAGCGAGAAGCCATCTTTGCTCCCTTTGCTTCAGGGAAAGCCTTGTCTTACAGGGCATTAGAAATCTGAGTGTGTGTTTGAGACGAGCTGCTCTGAGTGTTGTTTGGGAGGTTAGGCAGTGATTGACAGTTTCAGGGAAGGAATTAGTGACTCACTGTTCTTTGAAGCTCTCTGGGAGTGAGTGGTTGCTTCCTGTTTAACCTATATAAGCCAGGGCCTGAGCTCAAGTGGCAGTTGAGTTCCCACAGAAGTTGAGGAAGCGAGAAGCCATCTTTGCTCCCTTTGCTTCAGGGAAAGCCTTGTCTTACAGGGCATTAGAAATCTGAGTGTGTGTTTGAGACAAGCTGCTCTGAGTGTTGTTTGGGAGGCGAAGCAGTGATTGACAGTTTCAGGGAAGCAATTAGTGACTCACTGTTCCCTGTTCTTTGAAGCTCTCTGGGAGTGAGTGGTTGCTTCCTGTTTAACCTATATAAGCCAGGGCCTGAGCTCAAGTGGCAGTTGAGTTCCCACAGAAGTTGAGGAAGCGAGAAGCCATCTTTGCTCCCTTTGCTTCAGGGAAAGCCTTGTCTTACAGGGCATTAGAAATCTGAGTGTGTGTTTGAGACAAGCTGCTCTGAGTGTTGTTTGGGAGGCGAAGCAGTGATTGACAGTTTCAGGGAAGCAATTAGTGACTCACTGTTCCCTGTTCTTTGAAGCTCTCTGGGAGTGAGTGGTTGCTTCCTGTTTAACCTATATAAGCCAGGGCCTGAGCTCAAGTGGCAGTTGAGTTCCCACAGAAGTTGAGGAAGCAAGAAGCCATCTTTGCTCCCTTTGCTTCAGGGAAAGCCTTGTCTTAGAGGGCATTAGAAATCTGAGTGTGTGTTTGAGACAAGCTGCTCTGAGTTTTGTTTGGGAGGCGAAGCAGTGATTGACAGTTTCAGGGAAGCAATTAGTGACTCACTGTTCCCTGTTCTTTGAAGCTCCCTGGGAGTGAGTGTTTGCTTCCTGATCAACATATATAAGCCAGGGTCAGTGAGTGATTGACAGTTTCCAAAGAAGGAGCCTCCACCACACTCTGGGGCAGAGAGTTCCACTGCTGAACAGCTCTCCCAGTCAGGAAGTTCTTCCTCATGTTCACGTGGAATCTCGTTTCTTGTAGTTTGAAGCCATGGCTCCATTGCATCCTAGTCTACAGGGCAGCAGAAAACAAGCTTGCACCCTCCTCCCTATGACTTCCCCTCACGTATTTATACATGTCTCCTCTCAGCCTTCTCTTCTGCAGGCTAAACATGCCCAGTAGCTCTTTCAGCTGCTCCTCATAGGGCTTGTTCTCCAGACCCTTGATCCTTTGAGTCACGTTCCTCTGGACACATTCTAGCTTGTCAATATCTCCCTTCAATACATAGAATCGTAGAGTTGGAAGAGACCTTTTGGGCCATCCAGTCCAACTCCAATCTGCCAAGAAGCAGGAAAATCGCATAAGAAGCACCCCTGACAGATGGCCATCCAGCCTCTGCTTCAAAGCCTCCAGAGAAGGAACCTCCACCACACTCTGGGGCAGAGAGTTCCACTGGTGAACAGCTCTCAGGAAGTTCTTCCTCACATTCAGGTGGAATCTCCTTTCTTGTAGTTTGAAGCCATTGCTCCATTGCATCCTAGTCTCCAGGGCAACAGAAAGAAAGCCTGCTCCCTCCTCCCTAGGACTTCCCCAACCTCACCGCTTGATCCCTGGCCCTCATCATGTCTTCTCTCAGCCTTCTTTTCTGTAGGCTAAACATGCCCAAAGGCCAAGATGAAGTCCTTTGACCACATCATGAGAAGAAAGGAAAGCTTAGAGAAGAGAATGATGCTAGGGAAAATGGAAGGAAAAAGGAAGAGGGGCCGACCAAGGGCAAGGTGGAGGGATGGCATCCTTGAAGTGACTGGATTGACCTTGAAGGAGCTGGGGGTGGTGACGGCCAACAGGAAGCTCTGGTGTGGACTGGTCCATGAAGTCATGAAGAGTCGGAAACGACTGAACGAATGAACAACAACAAACATGCCCGGTTCTTTCAGCTGCTCCTCATAGGGCTTGTTCTCCAGACCCTGGATCCTTTGAGTCGCCCTCCTCTGGACACATTCCAGCTTGTCAATATCTCTCTTCAATTGTGGTGTCCAAAATTGGACACAGTGTGGCTCCAGACGTGGTCTGACCAAGGCAGAATAGAGCATGGGGAGCATGACTTCCTTAGATCTAGGCACTATGTTCCTATTGATGCAGGCCAAAATCCCATTGGCTTTTTTTGCCACCGCATCACATTGTTGGGTCATGTTTGGATTATTTATGGTCTCCAGACTTTTGATTCTTTCGGTCACCCTCTTCCTCTGGACCTCCCCCCCCCCCCCGGTTTAGGGTCAATCTCTCTTTGCCCAGAACTGCACACAGTATTCCAGGTGATGTCTGACCAAAACAGATCCAGTTCCGAGCACAATTCAAGGTGCTGGTTTTGACCTATAAAACCCTATACGGTTCCGGCCCAGTGTATCTGTCCGAACGGATCTCCCTCTACGTCCCACCCCGGAGCCTAAGATCTTCTGGGGAGGTCCTGCTCTCGACCCCGCCTCTATCACAGGTGAGATTGGCGGGGACGAGGAGCAGGGCCTTCTCGGTGGTGGCCCCCCGCCTGTGGAATTCACTCCCCGGGGAAATCAGATCTGCAACTTCGCTCCTTTCTTTCAGGAAAAAACTAAAAACATGGATCTGGGACCAGGCATTTGGGCAAGCGGGTAAATAAAGAAGAACTCCATTGATGGCTAGGAAATGACTAACGGATTGGTCATGCGGAACTCTGGAAACGAAACGCTGATTATAAGAATGACTTTTATATGATGTTTTTATATGACGTTTTATATAATGTCTTATGTCTTATGTACCGGTTGTTGATGTTTTAATTGTGATAATCGTTTATATTTTAATTAATTGTGTATATTTTTGTATATTATGTGTCATTTTGTATAGGCATCGAATTCTGCCTTTTTTGTAAGCTGCCCTCCGGGGGTTGAGAAGGGCGGGGTAAAAGCACCAGGAATAAATAAATAAGTAAATAAATAAATAAATAATTAGAGGGGCACCAGTGGCCTCTGGCCCATGTCTTGCCCCCATCAAGGAAGTTCTTGGAAGGGACCCCCAGGGCCATCTAGCCTGACCCCTTCCGCACTTCAGGAATCCACAACCAAGGTACTTCTGGCCAGCCTGTGCTTGAGGGACAAAGAGGGACAACCTGCCAATCTCCACCTGGTCTGTTCTACTGGCCCACAGCCTTTTCCTGCCACAAAGTCTTTCCCGATGTGGTGGGAGAATCTCCTCCCTTGTGATTTGCCTCTCTTTGGCTCTTACCCTTTGGAGAAACAGAGAGGGAGCACATGGTGGGACCCATAGGGATGTCACCTGTGCTTGAGGGCAAGGATGTGCCCGGGCCTCCTGGCACTGGTTCTGGAAGGTGTCCAGAGAAGGACAGTCAAAGGGAGCAAAGGTCTGGGGACCACAAAGAACAACCCCTCTGAAGAGTGGACTGGGCAGCTGGGTCTGTTGGAGAAGAGGAGCTGCTTCAAGAGCTGGGCATGTTTAGCCACAATTCAAGAGAGATGTTGACACTAAGCTGAAATGTGTCCAGAGGAGGGCGACTAAAATGATCAAGGGTCTGGAGAACAAGCCCTATGAGGAGCGGCTTAAGGAGCTGGGCATGTTTAGCCTGAAGAAGAGAAGGATGAGAGGAGATATGATAGCCATGTATAAATATGTGAGAGGAAGCCACAGGGAGGAGGGAGCAGATCAAGGGTCTGGAGAACAAGCCCTATGAGGAGCGGCTTAAGGAGCTGGGCATGTTTAGCCTGAAGAAGAGAAGGCTGAGAGGAGATATGATGAGAGCCATGGATAAATATGTGAGAGGAAGCCACAGGGAGGAGGGAGCAGATCAAGGGTCTGGAGAACAAGCCCTATGAGGAGCGGCTTAAGGAGCTGGGCATGTTTAGCCTGAAGAAGAGAAGGCTGAGAGGAGATATGATGAGCGCCATGTATAAATATGTGAGAGGAAGCCACAGGGAGGAGGAGGGAGCAAGCTTGTGTTCTGCTTCCCTGGAGACTAGGAAGCAATGGGACAATGGCTTCAACTACAGGAAAGGAGATTCCACCTGAACATGAGGAAGAACTTCCTGACTGTGAGAGCCGTTCAGCAGTGGAACTCTCTGCCCCGGGGGGAGTGTGGTGGAGGCTCCTTCTTTGGAAGCTTTTGAAAAGAGGCTGGGTGGCCATCTGTCAGGGGTGATTTGAATGCAATATTCCTGCTTCTTGGCAGAATGGGGTTGGACTGGATGATGGCCAGTCTTCCAACTCTTGGATTCTGTGATTCTATGACTATGAGAGCTGTTCAGCAGTGGAACTCTCTGCCCCGGAGGGAGTGTGGTGGAGGCTCCTTCTTTGGAGGCTTTTAAACAGAGGCTGGATGGGCATCTGCCAGGGGTGATTTGAATGTAATATTCCTGCTTCTTGACAGGATGGCCCATGAGGTCTCTTCCAACTCGAGGATTTTAGGATTCTAGGATTCTACGCCTGGACCCTCCCTCCCTCCCTCCCTCCATTCGTACTTCAACTCCTACCGGCTGTGAGGAATGGTGGGAGTTGAAGTCCAAAACACCTGGAGGGAGGGAGGGAGGGAGGGTCCGCCCCGCCCCTTACCTACGTGCTCACCTGCGGTCAGGACCTGCACGGTGGCCGGGTGCCTCGCCATCACCCGCTGGTAGGCCCGCCACGCCGCCGCCCCCGCCGCCGCCATGGAGCCCACTCGGGGCAGCCCACGCCACGCCACGCCACGCCACGCCCGGCCCCTCCCCTCGCCCACAACAGAGGCAGCTGAGAAGCACGTGCAGCTCAGGCAGGATGAGGCGCCCGGGGATGACGCAAGGGGGGCCGGCCAGCCCTGATTGGCCGAAAGAGGGGCGGGGGAGGGGGGAGGCTGACTTCCCCGTCCACGCCACGTCCACGCGCAGATAGATAGCACCAAGCAGCGCGGCCCTGCAAAGAAGAGGGCAACCGCAGCACCTCACTCACCTTGCCTGAAGAGTCATAACAATCCTCACCTCAGCAGACTGAAAGCCAAAACCAAGGTCGCAACAACATCTGTTATAGAACTCCAGTATGCGGATGACAACGTTGTCTGTGCACATTCACAAGAAGACCTGCAAGGCACTCTATAAACACCTTCGCAGAAGCATATGAGAAGCTCGGCCTGTCATTGAACATCAAGAAAACCAAAGTGTGCCAAAACCAAGGTCGCAACAACATCTGTTATAGAACTCCAGTATGCGGATGACAACGTTGTCTGTGCGCATTCAGAGAAGACCTGCAAGCCACTCTAAACACCTTCGCAGAAGCATATGAGAAGCTCGGCCTGTCATTGAACATCAAGAAAACCAAAGTGTGCCAAAACCAAGGTCACAACAACATCTGTTATAGAACTCCAGTATGCGGATGACAACGTTGTCTGTGCGCATTCAGAGGAAGACCTGCAAGCCACTCTAAACACCTTCGCAGAAGCATATGAGAAGCTCGGCCTGTCATTGAACATCAAGAAAACCAAAGTGTGCCAAAACCAAGGTCACAACAACATCTGTTATAGAACTCCAGTATGCTGATGACAATGTCATCTGTGCGTATTCAGAAGGAGACCTACAAGCCACTCTAAACACCTTCCTAGAAGCATATGAGAAGCTCGTCCTGTTAATGAACATCAAGAAAACCAAAGTGTGCCAAAACCAAGGTCACAACAACATCTGTTATAGAACTCCAGTATGCAGATGACAACGTCGTCTGTGCGCATTCACGAGGAAGACCTGCAAGCCACTCTATAAACACCTTCGCGGAAGCAGACGAGAAGCTCGGCCTGTCATTGAACATCAAGAAAACCAAAGTGTGCCAAAACCAAGGTCACAACAGCATCTGTTATAGAACTCCAGTATGCGGATGACAACGTTGTCTGTGCGCATTCAGAGGAAGACCTGCAAGCCACTCTAAACACCTTCGCAGAAGCATATGAGAAGCTCGGCCTGTCATTGAACATCAAGAAAACCAAAGTGTGCCAAAACCAAGGTCACAACAACATCTGTTATAGAACTCCAGTATGCAGATGACAACGTCGTCTGTGCGCATTCACGAGGAAGACCTGCAAGCCACTCTATAAACACCTTCGCGGAAGCAGACGAGAAGCTCGGCCTGTCATTGAACATCAAGAAAACCAAAGTGTGCCAAAACCAAGGTCACAACAGCATCTGTTATAGAACTCCAGTATGCGGATGACAACGTTGTCTGTGCGCATTCAGAGGAAGACCTGCAAGCCACTCTAAACACCTTCGCAGAAGCATATGAGAAGCTCGGCCTGTCATTGAACATCAAGAAAACCAAAGTGTGCCAAAACCAAGGTCACAACAACATCTGTTATAGAACTCCAGTATGCGGATGACAACGTTGTCTGTGCGCATTCAGAGGAAGACCTGCAAGCCACTCTAAACACCTTCGCAGAAGCATATGAGAAGCTCGGCCTGTCATTGAACATCAAGAAAACCAAAGTGTGCCAAAACCAAGGTCACAACAACATCTGTTATAGAACTCCAGTATGCAGATGACAACGTCGTCTGTGCGCATTCACGAGGAAGACCTGCAAGCCACTCTATAAACACCTTCGCGGAAGCAGACGAGAAGCTCGGCCTGTCATTGAACATCAAGAAAACCAAAGTGTGCCAAAACCAAGGTCACAACAGCATCTGTTATAGAACTCCAGTATGCGGATGACAACGTTGTCTGTGCGCATTCAGAGGAAGACCTGCAAGCCACTCTATAAACACCTTCGCGGAAGTAGACGAGAAGCTCAATTTGGACAGCATACACCTAACAACACAATGTAATGTCCTTCACTCAAAAAATGTTGATTTTGTCATTTGGGAGTTGTAGTTGCTGGGATTTATAGTTCACCTACAATCAAAGAATATGCTGAACCCCACCAACGATGGAATTGAACCAAACGTGGCACACAGGACTCCTATGATGGAGTTAGGGGAATATAGACCTTGACATTTGGGAGTTGTAGTTGCTGGGATTTATAGTTCACCTACAATCAAAGAATATGCTGAACCCCACCAACGATGGAATTGAACCAAACGTGGCACACAGGACTCCTATGATGGAGTTAGGGGAATATAGACCTTGACATTTGGGAGTTGTAGTTGCTGGGATTTATAGTTCACCTACAATCAAAGAATATGCTGAACCCCACCAACGATGGAATTGAACCAAACGTGGCACAACATTGTTGGAGTTTGGGGAAAATAGACCTTGATATTTTGGAGTTGTAGTTGCTGAAATTTATAGTTCACCTACAATCAAAGGATATTCTGAACTCCACCAAGATGGGATTGAACCAAACTTGGCACACAGAACTCAAGGAGAAAATTGGATAAAATAGACTTGACATTTGGGAGTTGTAGTTGCTGGGATGTATAGTTCACCTCCAATCAAAGAATATGCTGAACCCCACCAACGATGGAATTGAACCAAACGTGGCACACAGGACTCCTATGATGGAGTTAGGGGAATATAGACCTTGACATTTGGGAGTTGTAGTTGCTGGGATTTATAGTTCACCTACAATCAAAGAATATGCTGAACCCCACCAACGATGGAATTGAACCAAACGTGGCACACAGGACTCCTATGATGGAGTTAGGGGAATATAGACCTTGACATTTGGGAGTTGTAGTTGCTGGGATTTATAGTTCACCTACAATCAAAGAATATGCTGAACCCCACCAATGATGGAATTTTATTTATTTATTTATTTATTTATTTACTCTATTTGTATACCGCATTTATCAGCCTGGAACGGCGACTCAATGCGGTTTACAGTAAAAATAACAGTAAACAATATAAAGACACACATCCACAAACAATACACATAATCATCAACGCCTACTTAGAATCAGATCCCGTTCTCATAATCCTTAATTCAATCCTTGTTCAATGCCGTCATTATTGGGGTGGTTGTTACTGCATAGTTAACCGAATGCCTGTTCATAGAGCCACGTCTTAACCCTCCTTCGAAACGCCAGCAACGAAGGGGCCTGCCTGATGTCCGCTGGTAACGCATTCCATAGCCGAGGGGCCACTACCGAGAAGGCCCTGTCTCTCGTGCCCGCCAACCTCACTTGTGACGCTGGCGGGACCGAGAGCAGGGCCTCCCCGGACGATCTTAACGCCCTTGCCGGTTCATAGGTGGAGATGCGTTCGGAGAGGTAAGTGGGGCCGGAACCGTGTAGGGCTTTATAGGCTAAAGCCAGCACCTTAAATTGTGCTCGGTAGCAAATTGGCAGCCAGTGGAGCTGGTTCAACAGGGGGGTGGTATGCTCCCTGAGAGCTGCTCCCGTTAGCAACCTGGCTGCCGAGCGCTGGACCATCTGAAGCTTCCGGGCAGTCTTTAAGGGCAACCCCACGTAGAGCGCGTTGCAGTAATCTATACGGGATGTGACAAGAGCGTGGACTACCGTGGCCAAGTCCGACCTCCCAAGATACGGGCGCAGCTGGCGCACAAGCCGAAGCTGTGCAAATGCTCCTCTGGAAACCGCCGAAACTTGGGGTTCCAAGGTTAGCGAAGAATCCAGAGTCACACCCAAGCTGCGAACCTGCGTCTTCAGGGGGAGTGCGACCCCGTCCAACACAGGCTGTAACCCTATATCCTGCTCGGCCTTCCGACTGACCAGGAGTACCTCTGTCTTGTCTGGATTGAGTTTCAATTTGTTCACCCTCATCCAGTCCGACACAGCAGCCAAGCACCGGTTCAGGACCTGGACAGCCACCTTACCAAACGTGGCACACAGGACTCCTATGATGGAGTTAGGGGAATATAGACCTTGACATTTGGGAGTTGTAGTTGCTGGGATTTATAGTTCACCTACAATCAAAGAGCATGCTTTTTTTTTGTCATGTCAGAGCAATCAGTCCATTATATTACATTTATTACATTTCTAACAGAACAAAGCAAACAAACAGAAAAATACACAACTTGTGAGTTTGGTAGTTGGTTAAATGTCCTTTGACCAGTATCTGGCCACTTGGAGTGCTTCCGGTGTTGCTGCAAGAAGGTCCTCCATTGTGCATGTGGCAGGGCTCAGGTTGCATTGCAGCAAGTGGTCAGTGGTTTGCTCTTCTCCGCACTCGCATGTCGTGGATTCCACTTTGTGGCCCCATTTCTTGAGGTTGACTCTGCATCTCGTGGTGCCAGAGCGCAGTCTGTTCAGCGCCTTCCAAGTCGCCCAGTCCTCTGTGTGCCCAGGGGGGAGTCTCTCATCCATGGATTGTAGTTCCGGGCTTGAGCCTGCCACTTTTGGACTCTCACTTGCTGAGATATTCCAGCGGGTGTCTCTGTAGATCTTAGAAAACTATGTCTAGATTTAAGTCGTTGACATGCTGGCTGATACCCAAACAGGGGATGAGCTGGAGATGTCTCTGCCTTGGTCCTTTCACTATTGGCTGCTACTTCCCGGCGGATGTCAGGTGGTGCAATACCGGCTAAGCAGTGTAATTTCTCCAGTGGTGTAGGGCGCAGACACCCCGTGATAATGCGGCATGTCTCATTAAGAGCCACATCCACTGTTTTAGAGTGGTGAGATGTGTTCCACACTGGGCATGCGTACTCAGCAGCAGAGTAGCATAGCGCAAGGGCAGATGTCTTCACTGTGTCTGGTTGTGATCCCCAGGTTGTGCCAGTCAGCTTTCGTATGATATTGTTTCTAGCACCCACTTTT